ATTTATGATGAGTCTTTGCGGTTTGCTATCACAACTACAAAGGTTATGGGAAAGTGTTGTGTAGGAACGATACAGTCATTGGCTTTTTTTTTTCTTTCTTTTTCTTTTTTCATTTTTCTTTTTTAAAGCAGGGTATCACTGTGTAGCTCTGGCTGGCCTAGAACTCACTATATTGACCAGACTGGCCCTGAACACAGAGATCCACTGCCTGCACCTCGCAAATGCAGGGATCGAAGGCATGTGCCACCATGCCCAACCTATAGTCATTAACTTTATGGAGCTTAGAAAAAATATGAAATTGTTAACAAAATGCAAATATCCTGTGGTGGTTTGAACAAGAATGACCCCCATAGGCTTCCATATTTGAATGCTTAGACAGGAGGTGGTACTATTTGAAAAGAATTAAGAGGTGTGGCCTTGTTGAAGGAACTGTGTTCCTGGAGATGGGCTTTGAGATTTCAGAAGCTCATGTCAAGCCCAGAATCTCTCTCTTGACCAACACATCAAAATGCACCCGTTAACTACTTCTTCAGCACCACACCTGCCTACTGCCATGCTCGCCGCCATGATGACAATGGATTAAACCTCTGAAACTATAAGCAAGCCTTCAATTAAATGCTTTCTTTGTGAGAGCTGCCTTAGTCATGGTGTCTCTTCACAACAATAGGACAATGATTAAGACACATCTATATGCCCTTTTCCAAACCACAAGCAAATTTCAACTCCCCAGGCTTAGAAATTAGAAATTCATCAGTTCCTGTACACATTTCATGAATGCCACTTATCTGGACCACTACTAAAATAAGTGCAACCAACAATGTGGGTGCATATTAGACCAGCTACCCAATAGTGTATTATTAGAAAGAGAAATGATACATACAAGCTTCTTTGTGTTCTCACTCACACTAAATGTTAAACTGTAGTGAATAATAACAATAATGAAACAGGTAACATTTAATTACTTATTACATCTTAGAAAACACTCTAAGCACTTAATCTGTATTTATTTACCTTTAAAACAATTCCTTTATGGGGGTGTGGGGTACAAGGTTGATACTAGAGAGCCCAAGCTAGCTTGGAACTTGAAATCCTCTTGCCTCAGCCTCCCAAGGTCTGAATTACAGGCATCCACCACCATATCTGCCTTCTTCGAGACAGTTCTAAAAGTACTAATAGTACATAAAAGGTATGTACTATTATTAACCACATCTTATAGAACAGAAAGGTGATGCCAAGTTGCCTGGGGAGAAGGAACTTGCTCCAGTCATAACTGGCATCATTCAACTGAACTTAAACATGAGATCTATACTGGTACCAGTCACAGGGAGCAGGAATTGTTGGTGTCCTGAGAGCGATTCAGGAGTGATGCTTCACAACGGCCCAGGTGACACAGATCAAGATGGAGTGATAATCCTGCTGCCTCTACTTGCAACGTGCATGTGAAGCTGGCTCAGCCCTTAGTGCCATCTTTTCATTCAGAGATCCCTCCTGGCAGGGAAAACCCTTTCCTGTCTCTCTACCCCCATCCTTTCTTCCCTTCCCCTCTCTCTCCCTCTCCCTCTGTCTCTCCTTCTCTCACTCCCTATCTGTCTCTGTCTCTCTCTCTCAACTTGGACACACTCAGTGATGTTTTCCTTAGTCCTGTATTAACTTGCCTGCCAGCATCCAATTAAAAGAAATGAATGAAAGCTTCCATTAGCCAAGGGTAGGACAGGGCCAGCACCAGATCTTTTGTGTGTGACAGGTGTGCTGACAAATCCTTCACCCAGCGTCACAAACACCTCAAACCACAAAACAGCTGAGTGGTAATTATTTTTATTTTAAAACCTTGCTGAATGATTACTCAGACTTGTGTAATAAGTCACCATACAGACTTTTGCATGAATATATATGTATATATTTGCACATAAATAAATGGAAAGTTCAAAATCCCATTATCAATATGCTTGTGAGTTTCTTTCCCTTCCTTCCTTCCTTCTTTCCTTCCTATCTTCCCTCCCTTCCCTCCCCCTCTCTCTCCCTCCCTCTCCTTCTCTCTTTCTCTTTCTCCTCAGTATTGAAGATGGAACCCAAAGCCATGCACATACCAGGCAAGCATTCAACACACTGAACTACGTTCCCAGCCCCTGAATCCAGTATTTTCACTGTCCAGATTTCCCTCAAGTCCTGACTGATGGCCTTCACAGGTTTTAAAACTTCTCTATCCCAAGAAGAGCTGCACATGGCTGCATTTTTCTGGGGGTGGGGGCAGGTGTAATTATTTTAGTACCTGTCATGAGTACACGTCAATTTGGGGCTTTGATTTTGAGGCAGATTCTCACTCTGTAGTCCAGGCCATCTTGGAACTATGTAACCCAGGATGGCATTGAACTTGTGGCAACCGTTCTGCCTCAACCTCCTGAGATCTGGGATTATAGGATTTGATGGCTATTCTTGGTTCTCAACTTGACTATATCTAGAATTAACTAAAATCCAAGTGGCTGGGTATGCCTGTGAGGGATTTTTCTTAATTAAATCATTTGAAGTGGGAAGACCCACATTTAATCCATATCTTTTGAGGTGGGAAGATCCACATTTAATCTAGGCCACACCTCCTGGAGGCAGCCTTTATAAAGGACATGGAAGCAGGAAGCTCTTGCCCTTTGCCTGCTTGCCCTCCATCTCATTGCCAAGTTCATACCCTCACTGGCATTTGAGCCTACTTCTTAGGGATTTCAGTGTTTAGGGAAGACCTGCTGAGGCATCCAGCCTCATGGACTGCTGAACAACTACTGGATTCTTGGACTCTCCACTGGTAGATAGCTGCTGTGGGATGGTCTGTATGTCAAATGCTCTGATTGGTCAATAAATAAAACACTGATTGGCCAGTGGCCAGGCAGGAAGTATAGGTGGGACTAACAGAGAGGAGAATTGAGAGAACAGGAAGGTGGGAGGAGACACTGCCAGCCACCGCCATGACAAGTAGCATATGAAGATGCCAGTAAGCCATGAGCCATGTGGCAAGGTATAGATTTATAGAAATGGATTAATTTAAGCTATAAGAACAGTTAGCAAGAAGGCTGCCATGGCCATACAGTTTGTAAGCAATATAAGTCTCTGTGTTTACTTGGTTGGGTCTGAGTGGCTGTGGGACTGGCAGGTGACAAAGATTTGTCCTTACTGTGAGCAAGGCAGGAAAACTCTAGCTACAGATAGCCATTGTTGGACTAAATGGACCATTATAATAAATCCAATATATATAACTTATTTTCATATAATAAATATAACTTATATATAATGAATATACATATATATATATACACACAGGCACACATGAAATGAAAATATGTCAGTTCTGTTTCTCTAGAGAACCTTGAGTATACACTGGCATACACTACCATGTCCCACACAAGTCACATTTTAAGCTGTGGGATATTTGTGCACTACCACCTCAAGCCTGTTAAAACTCTGCAATAGGCATGTTCATCTGAATATAGAAATTTCAATCTTACATTTCTCGGCCTTGTTCTTAGGTATGGTTTGATATTAATGTATGTTTATTACCCTTAAGATAGACAAGAAGAGTAGTGGGTGTGAAGTCCTAGATACCTAGTGTTCTCATCAGCATCATGACTAATGATCCATGAGGTGCTCCTCTCTTACTTCACCACCCAGATGGAAATCAGTGTCCCCAGTCTCTGTCCCTCTACCTCTGGGAAGGTGAGGATGAGTTCTAACACCAACATACCAGGGAGTAATCTCACACAGCCTCCCACAAGCACAAAAAAACCTTTAACTTCTATATCCATATTCATTTTGTATCTGGCCTAAAGTACAAGCACACTTACTTTACCATAAATATGAAATGGTTTAGCCTCAGAATCCAGAAGTGAAAGTGGATATTCTATAAATACACTTCACATTTATGCCCTGGGCTTCTCATCCCAGGATTCTATTGGACTCAATCCACCAAGACTTACTCAAAAATCGTGAAATGCATATCAATTTTTACTTTAGGTAATGCCAACCTATAGCTACTTGTACATCATGGTATCCATAATACTCTTGTCGTTCAATTGTGTAAAGCAAACACCTCTCCCTTACTCTATTATAACAAATACAGAGTAATTTGCTCAAAGTAAGTCCTTTTTCTATAAGCTTTGTGTCCTATAAAGCAATGATAAACTATTCTAAAAATATTGTAATGACTTTGAACACATTTTTATTAAAAAAACTAATAATGACTTAAGTTTGGATTGACAGATATTAAATTATTAAGATGTACAGTCATATTCCTCACTCAAATGTTGCTGTAATCTCTCCTGACTTCATGATATAAATCTGCTGCTAGTATATTATATACTACATATACACATATATACATACATATATGTATGTATGTGGTGTGTATGTATGTGCACATGGACGCCTGCCTTCCTTCCTTCCTTCCTTCCTTCCTTCCTTCCTTCCTTCCTTCCTTCCTTCCTTCCAAACTTCTCCTCCTTACCAACACTGCACAGCTGACAGGTCCCACTTATCCATCTGATAGAGATAAGCTTCCAATCTTAACTTCCTTTTGAAATTTCATGTTCAACTTATAAAAACTGAATCGGTATTTTTTTCTTTTAGAGTTTAAGATAATCTACTTACACATCATTTGAAAGAAGAGCTTTTAAAGCAATCAAGAAACAATAAAACATGAACTAGAAATGCAGAGAATTGGGTTCCTCTGCTCTTTAGACTTGTTATGTACATGCCTGTGCCTCCCCAATTACCTCATAAAACTAAGAATGAAGTACACCCCAGTTCCTTGTTGGACGTAATCAACAAGTACTGAGCTGGCTATGTTCCTGTCCCAGCGATCCTGGTGTCATTTCCTCATTGAATAACATTCTGCAGATGTCAAACTCAGCACTATGATTCCTCAGGGAAAGCCAGGTAAGATCCTTTCATACCGAACATGAGCTCACATATCTTCCAACATCGAGGTTGGGTGCCAGCAAGACACCCGGTTTCCTTACCTGGATCGGGCGGCAGGCAAGCGCAGGAGAAGTGGGTGTTGTAGCCCACTTTGAAGTCTGAGTTGATAGGATAGTAGTCTGCCAGCTTGATCATCTTCTTGAAAGCATCATAGATGAAGATGAAGCTGATCAGCGAGGAGAAACCTTCTTCCGTGAAACGAGTGAAGTACTGAACCAGGAAGCTGGCATCAGTGGCCACCAGAATGAGACACATGAAGGCCGACCACAGGCCAATCCAAAGACGAAACTCCAAGTAGTCAAAATTATGGTCCCTGGGAAGAAAAACAAAACAACAAAACCAAAACGGGTGTTTTGACTGTTCCACCAGAAAACATGCAAAATCTAAAAACCACTCAAATGCCTACAGAATGGTTGCTGAAATAAAAGATCACTTTCAGACACTGCATGTAAAGAAATATTAAGCTTAAGGATTTGGTTTCATGGTATTATTATGCTACCTTTAGGAATTACTCCAAAAGTTTAGGGCGGGGATAAGCACTTAGAAAGTACATTTAGTGTTAGTGTGTAATTAGTTTGCTAATTTTCTCTTAAAAAAAAAAAAACAAAAACATCTGAGGTGGAAGCTTCCTCCCTGATAGCTGGCTTTTATAGAACCAAAGGGTAACTATGAAGGCTGCTGGGAAAGAAACAGTATCTATGCTCTTACCTTGCTGTGAACCCCATGGACCACAATGCCAACCTGACAAGCAATATATATATACACAGTTGCGCATCAGTGGCCTGACTGTTCCAGAGGAAACCAATTACTCTCTGATTGGATTTGAGGCCTGCTTTACCAGCAGCCTGCTGTACCCATGCCTGTTACTATAAATATGCTAAATAACCATGGCTGGGGAGGTCACAGACCCTAGACAGGAACTTAGTATTGTTGTTTAGTTAAACAGATACAGTGTAAAAATGCCCACTAAACATTAATGTTCATGGACAAATGCAATCCTCATTTTTTTGTTTTTGTTTTTGTTTTTCAAGACAGGGTTTCTCTGTGTAGCCTTGCGCCTTTCCTGGAACTCACTTGGTAGCCTGGCTCTACCTCACAAATTCTGGGATTAAAGGCATGCGCCACCACTGCCCGGCTGCAATCCTCATTTCAATCAGAAAACACCCCCTTTCTAGTGAATGACAGTGAAATTGGAGACGCATGAATTCTCAAGATGCTGACAATAAGTGAGGATTGGTTGGCCAGCCCTACATAGATACTTATAACATCTTTGCAAGGCTGAAGGAGTACTGTAGCAAAGAGGCCACAGAGACTATAGGAGACAGAAGATATCTGTGCCATCTCCTGGAGAAGGCAAAAATTACAATTGCCTTCACTTGCCTTCCCATTGGCAAATCCACCGGACTTCGATAAATAATACCAAGCATGGTCACACAAATGACCCTGGTTGACCTCGGTGGGTCACAAAACACTGAAAAGGGTATCAATCTGGAAAGAAACTTCTGGGGTTAAGAAAAGAGTCCGTAGAGATGGAGGGGAGATAAGAAAAGGTAGGGTAATTATAACCACAATGCATGTATGAAACTGTTGAAAAATAAGCTTAAATTTTAAAAAATGTTTTTTTTTAAAAAAAATTTATTCATGGAGTGTACAGAGTAAACTATTTAAAAGCACTGACATCAGGTGAAGACAACACTAACATCAGTACGTTCTATGCATTCAACTCGGGACTGTCTTCAACTAAGGGAGACAAAATGATAAAGGCCATTATATTATGAAATGCTAAATGGTAGTGTCATGAGGAAAAGGGTAAGTAATTTTGAGAGGGAATGAAGTTGCAGAAAGGAAATCAAGGTGTTTGAGAATACATAGAAAGAAACTTTCTTGACTGAGTAGACAGAGTCAGGTCAGGAAGCAGAAGAGAGTTTAAAAGGTATGTTGAGCATGGCAGTCTGTAATGTGCACTGTGGATAGGGCATCACCAACAAGAGGAGACAGGAATAGAGACATGGGCTCTTATCAGATCAAGAGAGGCTGCCCTACCATGATGCAGCCAAATACTACAGCTTCTCATTGAGTGCCCACAGATAGGATATCCTTTTACCATAACTGGGTATGTCTACCTTGTTCTGCCTGGGTTTGTTCCATAGACTTAGAATAGGCCATCACCCTCTAACTAGGCTACTACTATCTTCAACTTCCCATTTCTTCTAAGTCAGGATCAATAGAAAATGATGGGTCAAATATTGATATTTTATGATTGCATACTGAATATCTATAAATTATGTAGAGAGTAGATGTTTTTAAAAGATTACTAACTCATAATTTATTGCTGTGGAATAATCCTTCTATACACTGTTGAGATGTATTGCTCTCATTGTTAATAAAAAGCTGTTGGCTAATGGGGAGGCAGGATAAGGTTAAGTGGGAGAACCAGACTAGGACAATGTTGGGAAGAAGAAGGAGGAGGAGTCTGAGGAGATGCCATGTGATGCAAAGTGATTGGAATGTGAAGTACATACATGAGTTAAACAAGCCTCAGGGCAACATACAGATTAATAGAAATGGGTTAATTTAAGTTATAAGAGCTAGGTAAAAAAAAAAAAAAAAAAAGCCTAAGCTAGAGGCCAAGCATTTATAATTCATATTAAGTCTCTGTGTGGTTATTTAAAGAGCAGCTGGCAGGACAGAAAAGTCTGCCTATACTAATCTGTGATGAGAAAGGAGATAAGAACCATGGATCCTGCATACCTGGCATTCTTCAGAACTGTTTCTCGACAACAGGTTTCTGATAACTGCTAGCCACTGTTTTAACACTTTCCTAAAGGCAGCCTATCGCCTCATTCCCTACTATCATCTCAGTTTGAGCAGCTAGCACTTTGCCTGATAAAAACCTTGGAACTGATTCATTTACTGATATCTATGCTTGCCTTGCTCAAAGCCATCTTCTGACTAGAGCTAAAATGATCTCTCTAAATGCTAATCATATATCTCAGCTGAAAGCCTTACAGTGACTTCCCACTGCTCATAGAGCAGAATTCTAATCCTCTGCTTAGAATAATACTTTGCTCATAAAAAAAAAAAACCTGCCTAATACATTCATAATAGATGAAGGAAAGCATGCCTGTAGCTTATGTCTTAAGCAGGTGACTAACAGTAGCCTGTGAGTTATCACATAGAACTAGGAAATAATTACAGAACGTTACATTTTACAGTTTCTGAGACACTGTTATAGTTAATTTTATGTCAACTTGGCTGAGATATAGGGTGCTCACATATGTGGTCAAACATTATTGTGTGTTTCCACGAGTCTCTTTCTAGAAAGATTAACATTTAAATTCATGGACTTTGGGCTCATCTCATAAGGCAAAAAGTAGAACAGAGAAAAAATGGAAATTATGAACACTTTAATATGAAGTTCTATAGATCTTCAGAGACATTCCAACAACAGCTTTACCTTCTTCTCCTCAAGTTCCATGTATATCTACATCTCTACTACTGAGTGCATGTCTATGGAGATAAGCATGCTACAGAAAAAAATGCCCTAAGAATTAAGATAATTCACCTCATCATGTGAGTCAGTGCCTGAACAAGAGTAAAGAAACATCTTACTACCATTTGAACCAACAGGCATTTTTCTGAAAAGTTTAAAACAACTACCTAGCTTTGATACCCTAAGAAGATGAAAACTAGAACAATCTTGTATTGTTTGTTTGGTTTTATGTTTTGTGTTTGAGAAGGAGGTTCACTCAATAGTTCAGGCTTGCCTGGAACTCAATATACAACTTGTGCTGGCCTTAAAATCATGACTGCCTCAGTCTCCCACATGCTGAAACGACAGGCGTGCACTACCATGCCCAGACTGAAAACTAAAGCACTCCAGATTTGTTCCAAGAATGCTTGAGGTTGTTACAGAGTTGATGTTTGCAAAAGAGGGTAAGAAACAAATCCAGCAATTGTTAGCAATTAAAACATCGTGAGTTTGGACACAACTGGGGGGGGGGGGATGTATCTACAAGCTTGAATTTTAGACTCTATACATAATACACCAAACTAGCTATTCTAAGAGACTTTCAAACCGCCAAGGTAGTTCAGTGAGAAGGACAAAAGTAAGATCACTAACCAACACAACGCCACTGTTACGAACCCACAACACTCCAAGTTTCAAGAAGAAACAGAAGATGAGACTCTTGAAGCATATTAGGTGGTAATCGGTAATAACTATCCCTGATCCTGCCAAACAAGGATTCACCTACGTTCCTGAAAGAAAAAATTATGTCGGGGGAAAAACTGGGCACAGTGAACTAAGAGCTGCTTCACTAAACAGCCATGTTGATTCTTTAGTGTACTGAAGAGGAAAGTGAATGACCAAGTGGAGACTGTACTACAGAACTTCCAAGACATACTGGGGAGCTTTTTTTCACAGAGAAGCTCAGTTCTTAAGCCTGACAGTGGGTCAAACTGGCTTCGGGACATAGTGAGCCACAAGGAAATCCTAGCATTGCTGCTCTAACAGAAGCAGATGAATGAATTCGTAGTGTCCTAAATAAAAGTACCATTTGTCACATAATGGGCAATGTTGACTTTAAGGCAGTTTTGCAAATGTTTCTCGTTGCTTTACAACTGTTTTCAAATGAATTGCTTGAAACTATGTAACAGTACCAATTATGATGAGACAGAAGGGAAAGTGAGAAAGGAACTGGCTTGGTGGAAGGAAATACTCTGTAGCCTACAATAATTAAAACAAACCACCACACAAACACTTTCTGTAGATACAGACTCTGATCACATTTCATCCAATAAATCTCTCTGTGAGGTTCTGCCTGTTTGTTCCTGTTTATAGTGCATGCTTGTTTAATCTTCCCATAAAGCCTTTCTTGTCTCACAAAATGTTTTCTTAAACATATAAAAACTGTTTGACTCTCTCTGTAAACTGACATGAATAAAATTCTTTCCATGTCCTCAGAATTACGGTGGAAGAGAAATCTGTAATAATGATCTATAGAAAACTCGCCATTTTATTTAAAGATTGCAACTTCAAATACTCAGAAAGCTTTCGCTGATGTTATCCACCCAGATTTTTTGTTTTTAAGGTTTCAAACCTTCACTTGTCCCATGTAATTTAGGATACTTTTCCATGGCACACACAGTTTCAAAAATTATGTGACAGTCCTTATCTGCATGAGTACTGTTATGGTTTGGTCTGATATGAAATATACCCCTTGGGGCTGTGGGTTTATACACTTGATCTCCAGCTGGTAGCACAGTTTTTGAAAGTTGTGGAAGTTGTAGAAGTTGGAACCCTCTTGGAGGAAGTATAACCCTGGAGGTGAGCTTTGAGGTAGTATAGCCTGACCCCATTTCCTGTTCTCTCTCTCTGCTTCCTGAAAACCAGTTGCTCCTCGTACTTCTTTTGCCATGCTTTTCTTGCCTGTGATGGGCTGTATCCTCTCTGAACTGTAAGCCAACATGAACCCTTTCTCCCCTAAATTGCATCCTAGAACAGCAGCAGAAAAGTAACTAATACAGGTGCTGTGTAGACACTGGCTATTCTAAAATCAAAATCCTGTTAACACATCATAATACAAAATATGGAAATTCTACAAAAGAATACTCACAAGACTTAACAAACTCTGAACATCTGAGGACTGAGATAACCCAGTAAAGGCAAGTCTGTCTTAGAAATATATCAGGTACAGAAGGAAGAGACAAGAATACCCAATTTTATTTTTAATTTACTCACAAACTAATATAGTTTAAATAACTGACACTTCTCTTAGTATCCCTTCTATTTAAAATGACCCATTAATTTCTAAAAGAAAATATTGGTGTGTTATTATTTATCTCAGTACTGGAAGCTCTATCTACAGTGAAGAACGCAGGAACTGGAGCTAGGAACCATGAACTAAGAACCTTCAGTTTCTTTCATTAATGAACCATGTGACCTGGCACAAGTCACTTGGTTCCCTGGCTGTTTCAGTATCATGGCAGAAAAAGGCAAACAAAACAAACAGGCTATTTACAAAAGCGTAACTCTCCCTCCCCCTAAAATGGCAATGTGGAGGCACTCTGAGCTAAGTAGAGCAGGAAGCCATTATCAATCTTGGGCTTGTAAAGGTCACACAAGGAATGGAGTTACAGGAGCCTGGTGAGCTAAAACTAGGCTAGACAGGCCACCTGACAGGGCCTAGTGTCAGGAAGCAGGCCGGGCTGCTGAGCTGAACACAGGGAATGATGGGAGAAAGTGACATATTGAAACTCAGTTCTCTCTTCATTATCTAAACCAGCAGGAAGCCCTAGAGGGCAAAGGAATCTGGGGCTTGAAGTCCCTGGGAATCAGCCCTCAGGACAGGAAACAAGCAATCTGGAAGAGAATTCCTGGGGAAGGAATGAACAGAAAGTACAACAGATGGGCCTCTAGAAAGGACTGTCAACTAAGCTCTGGACAACTTAATCATGATGGCATTTTTCACTTCCAAATCTTATCACTCTAGTATTTTGGCGGGTATTTGGATCTATTTCATTGCTATCCTGCGCTTTATCCAGATGGAACAACACAGAAGAGCAAAAAAGTAGACAGACAGAGATATACATACTTGCTGAAATTAAACAGAAGCCTCTCAAACACCAAGACAGGTCCTGTGCTGCTCAAAATGGTGAGTGGTTGGCCAGCAAAAAGGCAAAAGATGGCTCCAGAGACAGCGGTACCCAGGAAACTCTCCAACACACCCTAAAAGAAAGAAGAATCGGTTGATAAAGCAGAGCAAAAACCAAACACACTTCTGATCTTCCTGTTTGTGATGTCAGCTGAAAAATGAAGCCCCAAAGAAACAAAACAAGAACAAAGGTTGATCTAATACGAAATACCACCACAGTTCTCCACGTACATTAAATTACTCTTCCCTATTCCAAAGGTTGATTGTTCTGAAAAACTATAATGACTGCGCTGACTGGTACACAAGAGGCAATTGCATCTCTGACTGTTACTTAAAAATTTATTGAAGGTTTGGTCATATAAAAGTCATATTCTGTAAACCCACCAAACAGAGGAATTGATTCAGTTTTTTTTTTTTTTAAATCTATTTTGCTCTTTGTGGTTCTTCAGTGTGTTAGTGTAACTGCACCTTGCACATAGTAGGTACTTTTGAGTAGCTGTAATTTCAGCACAAAATCTTTTTTTCTAACAGAAGATTGGGAGGGGAGATGAGAACAAAGGGGACGAAAATAATGATGCAATTTTAAAAATTATTTAATCTAGTTTTTAACTTTCATACATGTATACAATGCATTTTGATCATATCCACTCCTGGTCACCATACCAAGTCACTCCTAGACACTACCTTCCATATCCACCCCCCCCCAACTTAATATTCCCCTTCTTTTCTTTCCTCATAACCCACTGATTCCAGTAAGTGCTGTGTGTGTGTGTGTGTGTGTGTGTGTGTGTGTGTGTGTGTGTGTGTGTGTGAATAAAGGGCCGTCCACTGGAACATGAGCAACCTAGGAGAGGTCACACCCCAGAAGAAAACTGACTTTTTCCCTCTACCAACCATCAACAGCCAATAGCTCTCTGCTAGCCATTAGCAATATTTAAGCCACCAATTGCAAAAACAACAATGATTAATAATAATAATAATAATAATAATAATAATAATAATAAACAATAATAATTCGCATTACATGCTCATGCATTTCCCAAATGCAAACTGCACAAAAAACTTCAAGAAACTTTCTTGTTAAAGAGAGCAAGCATCCAGAGACATAAGTAGCTAAAGCTTGTGTTCACATCTCTGGACACCAACCCACTGTCTTCCCTTAGCACAACAAGAGGCAATACCTGTAAGAACCACTAAGTCACAACGCGACCTTCCTTAATCATGTCACTGAGGACCAGCAGTACTGATAATTATGATTTTTACTGTTGCAGAAGACAGACTGGCAAAAACTCATGTGTAAAAGGGTATTTTTGTAAACATAAAATAAGATTTAGCCAAGACATAGTTTCGTAATTTCTTTCACATTTATTTAGCTGTATGTGGGGTGCACAGGCGGCTGGAGCTGGCTCTCTCCTTTTACCTTATGGACTTCAGGAATCAAACCCAGACGATCAGGGTTGGCAGCACGTGTCTTTCTCTGCTGAGCCATCTTGCTGGCCATCAAGGGGCAGTTTTAAAATGCAAAAGGTGACCAATTATCACACACAATGCTATGTATCTGGATATCCAAATCTAAAAAGCTTTTTCAAATGAATAAAGGGAGTCTAGACCTTTAAAAGGTACAATACCATACTCAGGGGTTGACTGGTTAACATAACAGAGTAAGGTGTTCTCTTTATACCTTTATGTGTATAGTAAAACATTAGGGGGCTATTTCAATATACAGAAAACACATTAAGTTCTATCCCTGGCCAGGCATAGTGGTAATCTTAATCCAAGGTCAGAGGCAGGTGGATCTCTGTGAGTTCAAGGCTGACCTGGTCTACATAGCAAATTCCAGGCCGGGGCTGCTTAATGAGATCCCATGCACTGCTCGCCCCCCCAAAAAAGTAAAGAAAATTAGTTCCATCCCTACCTACTATCTAGAACCCATGGCAACTGGAAATACTTGTATATAGCTTTAGAACCACCAACACTGTCCTTGGAGTGACATTGGTGATAGAAAATGCCTCTTCTCTCAAGGTTGGGATCTGAATCAGAAGGCAGATGACAATCCTTCAGAGTAGCACTGGAAAGAAGTGGTATTGGGATGAAGTGGCCAAAAGATAAGAATGGGCAAGCAATTAGACAGGCTCTTCTCATGTCCAGTAAGCCCGCTCTGGTACAGCTCAGACAGGCCCTGTCCATGGAGAGTGCTGTTCAAATCTAGCAGGAGGGGCTCAAAGAGAACCCCACTCACACATGTAAGTACCAATGAACAGCTTGAAAGGTGCCATTCATTATTTATCCGTCCCAGCTAATGCTTCCTCACAGAAAACAATTCAAGTAGGAAGTGAAACAACAGAACCAAGATGCATTTAGACAGGCAAGATCGAAAGGGGTCCCCTTGTGCCCTCAAATAGTATTGTCTTGATTTCTTGACTGTTGACACAGTGACATTCAGATGAGTTAAATGATGGAAATGCACTGTGCATAAGAACTCTTAGATGTGTGTGCCCATCTAACCACACATCACTCTTTCTGAGTATTAAAGATATGCCTTGGGCTTGGGTTTTCCTAGATATGGAAATTCTCAGCTCCTGTGCATAAACAGAGGGTTTTTTTTTTCTTTTTACAATTTTATCTGTAGTTTTTATAGCTCACCTGAAAGCTAAGGATTTGAATGCTTTGTTTTACCAGATAATCCATTTATATGGTGGTATGTCTTGTTTATAAGACAGTCTGAGTACATGTAAAAGGCAAAGAGACAGTGCATCATTCTCCATCATCATACAGAAGAATCCCTATGTCTTACCGTACTTAGCATAGGATCAAAACAGCTCAGACTGTGTGTAAGGGAGGGTGTAAATTCGGAAAGCAGAAACTTGAGATCCAGGATCTGTGGCTTGGCATAGCCATTAATCTCTGTAAGGGCTGGAACAAGGTCTTCCCGCATCTCCTGTTTCTCCTCCCATGATGCTGTCCACCATTCCTCCACCACGTGCTTTGCAGGTTCTCAGCAAGTGCTGAAGGAATGGAAGACTTGCCCAGACGACACCCTAGGTCTCCTTATCAAAGGTCAAGAGCCCTCCTCGCTGCTCATTCAGTAAAGATAGCAACCAATTTCTTCCAGAAAACACTGTGATTTATGGAAGCCATGTGATAATTCAAAGGCAGATTATTTTTATTTCGGTACTTGATCCTGTCGTAAATGCTAGTTTTCCGTTCTGTGGCTGACAATTCTCAAGCAGAGGCAGGTGATTCATTATATACATGGCACTGGAAACCTGTTTAAAACTGAGAGATGCTTCCAGCATTTCTGAGAAAAGAACTATTTTCACCACATTTTGACATGTTCCTCTTCACAACACAGAATTTTTTTAAAAAAAATAATAATCTCAGGCAATGAATAACTTTAACTGTAACTAGAGTCTAATGCAACTTACAAAACAAATTGTCATAAACATCTTTTCTGATTTATCACATCCAGTGTTCACTAATATTTGATTTTAAAAGAAAACTACATTGACTTGTGTCTTGTCAACAGCCATGAGTCTTAAAACCATCTCTACATCTAACTTCTAGAAGGAACAAATTTCCCAGCACTTCACGGAGATGCAGCTGGCTGGGCTCAGGGGTGTGGTGGCATCAGGGCCACAGAGTGCCCTGGCACTTTTGGTTGGCCATTCACCTTATTCCACTGCTGTCAGAGGGTGCCTAGCCGGGAACAGTAGAAAAAGCAGACAGCCAGCACTCAGGAAATCCAAAGTCTAGACTGTTCTACCACAAGAGACCCGATGATCTTCAAAATGTCACTTCACTTCTTTCAAGAAATAAAATAAATGGTGACATAGTAGAGAAATGGGCTGTGGCGTCACAGTCTCGGGTTGAGTTATGGGCTACATCATGTTCCCAATGTAATCTCCAATCTGCATATTAGATCAGACATTATATGGAACAGGCTTAGCATAGTGTCTGATGGTTGAGAGCTCTTCCAATAACAGCAACCTCTCTTAGGCAACATGCTTATTTGCATATAAGATAAAGAGGTTGGACTAGATGACCTCTGAGATCTCAGCCAGCTGGCTCAACACTAGGGCAAACCTTGCAGACATAGCCATGTGAACTTAGACCAGCTCCCCCAGTTACCTTAGATCCAAGCATCTCTTCTATCAAGCCTATCTATGGCTACCTCACTGGTAATTATTTGGATTAGACCACTGGCTCTCAACCTTCCTAATACTGAGACCCTTTAATACAATTCTTCAGGTTGTGCTGGCCCCCTAACCATAACATTATTTTTGTTGCTACTTCATAACTGAAATTTTGTTACTGTTATGAATCATAATGCAAATATCTGATATATAGGATATCTGATAGGCAAACCCCCAAAGGGGTCATGACCCACAGGTTGAGAACTGCTGAATTAAATGAAAAGGAATACAGTAGAACACAAAGTAGAGATGCAATATTAGGTCTCTAATATTCCCTCACGCCTTTCATCCCCTTCTTCCAGGAAGAAGGTGGAAAGCTGCAAGGAGTAGCATGAAAAGAGGAAGATTAGTCCTCAGTGGGAAGGGGCGGGGCCTCCTGAACTCTGCATTCAAATATAGAAGGCTTGGGGGCAACACTATGGTCCCAAGGGTTGTTTCTTTCATTAAAATTGATGCTTATAAACAAAGCAAAATAGTCTAACAGGACTGAAATCAAAACCCATACACCAAATAATTTGTGACAATTTCTCTGCTCACATGGGGGTATGAAATTCAACCCAAGATGTCCCCTGTTTTTCAAAAAAAAAAAAGCCAGGAAAGGTAGAACAAGTCTCAAGACTTCAAAATCAAGCATATAGAAATTTAAACCATAGGAGGGAGTGTCTGGAAATGTTATAATGCACCTATGGTTGAAATACCAGCACTTCAGGGTTTTAAGCTACCCGGCACAAGAACTGTAAGTGACATCACCCCCACAGCAATCAAGGCAAAGCAAGCACACTCAAGAGAAGCAGACATTAGACATTAAAGATACATGCTGTTCAACCTCATTGCAACTTATCTTCATATAACTGTGGGGGCCCACAGAGGTTCCCCAGTAA